AAGAAATGATGATGTCGAGGATCCTAATCCAAGGCACAAACAATTACCATATCTCGGTATCCCAGACTTAAATAGTAACGCGAAAGAATCGGTTGAAGAGTATGACCCAGTGCCTTTCTATGAGAAGCGCCCGATAGCATACAAGCATTTAGCTCCAATAGAAAATGTTAAAAATGAGGAACAAGCGTTGAGCAGTCTGTTAAAAGCACCTGTTACTCTAAGCGCGGAAGTACTTATGAGCATTTCTCCTGGAGTAAGGCAAGAATTGTTTAAGGCCTTAGCTAAAAAGAAGGTACCAATTCAGACTGCTCACAATCGAAAAGTAACTATAGTCGAGGAGGTTGATAAAGACGCACCTCCAATTAAAAAGCAAGAAGATAATTTTAATTTCGGAAAAATCAATATAAATGACTTGGACATCAAAGCCACTTTTATGTGCACAACAGAGGATGATGGAGTAATACCAAAGGGTTCTATAGTCCTGACAGACCCTGTTGAGCAATATTTGCAAGGCCTAGGCTCATCGGAAACTCCGAAGGAGATTTACGTATCTAAAGAGTCCCATGCTTTAAAATCGATATATCCAGTAATTAATAAGTTTGGTCAAGTAGAGAGCTTGTTGGATGGTGGCTCACAAATTGTATCAATGGATGTGGAGGTTGCTAAGAAATTAGCAGTCCCTTGGGATCCTGATATAACCATTCAAATGCAAAGTGCGAATAGAACTGTGGAAAAGACCCTTGGTCTCGCCAAAAATGTTCCATTTAACTTCGGAGGAATTACGATTTACCTGCAAGTGCATGTAATACGGGACCCAGCCTATAAAGTACTATTGGGCAGGCCCTTTGACGTGTTAACAGGGAGCGTGGTCGTAAACTCTACGGACGGAGGACAGACGGTAACCATAACGGATCCAAACACTGGCAGAAGAGCAATGTTACCCACTTTTGACAGAGGAAAACCACCAGTAATGATGAAAATGCACACTGAAGAGGATCTTCAACCGAAAACTGAGAAAGTTTTTCAACCCTCGATGATTTGATTGAAAAAGATCAAGGAGAAGTTGCGATAGCTTTTGAAGAAGACGGTGCGGGAGGATATAAAGTCCTATCGTACGCCTTACCAATGGACGATCAATTCTCTGAAGAAGAGACTAGGAATTTGTATCTTACAAAATACTTAAAACATGAAAAAGAAAAGATGACAGACAAGGCGGCTAGTACGGTTCTGGTAAACTACTTAGAAAAATATTATTCTAAGCAAAGTCAAGAATCGGGCACCGCGTCTACAGTGGAAACCATGATGAATACGATATATAACCA